CAGCAGCTGTTGTTGAAGATTGAGCCTGACCACAGTCTTGAAAGCTTCAAACGCTCCTTCTATTTGCCGGTTGGCCCTAAACTCGTGCCCTCTGTCGACGACTATGATGGTAACAGCGAGGGAGTCTCAGAGTCAGAGTCAGAGGACGAGCTCAGTGAAAACTCTGATTCTCCGTGGCTTCTTAGCAACCTGGTCAACAGGATGATCTCAGAAGGCTCCTACCCAATCAGCTGCCCAGAAGAGTGCCTCAAACGCTCAGCCTCCATCTCTGACACCATCTCACCCTCATCGGACCTGGAAACAGATACTTTCAATGAGATGGATTTCTGCAATTTACAAAAGCAGAAATCTGAAGAAAAGTCACAGGAGGTGACCTCTGAAAATTCAGAGATGAGACTGGATGAAGAGAAGGAGAGAGAAGCCAGCTATGTATCTGAAGAGGGACAGAAGGAAAGCAAGAGAACGGACTCTTGTCTGTACATTAGCAACCCCATATATGGCAACGCTATACCCATCTTTACAGAGGAATTCGAAACGAGGGCAAAGAATCATGAATCGGAGGACTTCCCATCCCAGAACTCATTAAAAAACAAGCAGAAAGAAGAAGAGGAGGAGCCAAATAATGACTTGATGATGGAGAGAATGAAGGAGCTGGAGTCTCCCAGCCTGAGCGAGAGCATAATCAGCGACAAAGACGAGGGACGGGAGACACGGGTCGATCAGATCACTTTGCAGCGAATCACAGAAGTCAAAAACAGCCTTACGCTGGACCTCCCAACAGCACAGACCAATCACTGTTTCAGTCTTACGTACTCGACAGATAATGATGAAGATGAGCAAGATACCTCCCCTTTTCTGGAGGATCTTCACAAGGAACCTTCACCCTACGGAAATGAGGCTTACTTGGACAGCTCCCCACCTATTGATGAGAGTGTGCGAGAGTTGAGGAACACAACTTCCGACCGGCCCATCAATGACTCCTTGGCGTATGATTCAATGAAGTACACCCTAGTGGTGGATGAAAACACAACCCTTGAACTGGTGAGCCTGAAGCGCTGTACCTCTGTTCTTAGTGAGGACAGTGATGGACTCTCTACTATTTGTGATCAGGATGTTGTCGATGAAGATGAAGATATTTATGGCCAGGGCCAGATGGAAAGAGGCATGAGACCTGGTTTGCTGTTAAGCTCCTCTGAAGAAGACTCCTCCCCTGAGGCGGATTTACCTTTCTCAAAGAAGTTCCTCAATGTGTTTGTCAACAGCACGTCACGGTCCTCCAGTAAGTGAAATTTAACACAGTTAGTTTATATAGTTCTAGTTCACCCAAAAAATTCTGTGATCATTTACTCACCTTCATTTAATTCCAAACCAATGAGATGTTTTGGAAAATGTGTTCAATCGTTTTTGTCCATACAAAGAAAGTAAATGTGGTCCAGTATTGTTTTGGACCCCATTAACTTTCACAGTATGGACAAAAACAGAAGAGATAATGTTATACAGGTTTGGAATGCCATGAAGGTGAGTAAATGATGACAAAATTTTTGTTTTTGTCAATGATCCTTTCATTTTGGTTTCTTTGAAAGATTTCTTGGTGCCAAAAAGCCATCCTTTGTTATTGTTTGCTCTCTCGCTGGATTAAACTAATATGACTAACACAGCAAAAATTTTAAAGCTACTGTAAAGGTTTAATATACAAATATGCTCAAGGAGGAAACGCAAAATAAATTGTTGTATATTACCTAAATAAATGACCAAATTAAATGCATTCCCATTCACAGAGCCATTCTGAGTCCTTTTAGTAGTTTAAGAGATTTAGATGATCATTTTACATAATTTAGGAGCCTGTCTCGCTGAACAGAAAGGATATTTAATAATCCTAATGAGATGACATCAGAAGATGTCAGAAGGATTTTGTATGACCTGCTTCTAAATTAGTTTTGCGGTACTCTGTGACACACACACACACACACACACACACACACACACACACTACCTTGGGACTTATATCTCAGTATACAGTGACATAATGCATCTGGATTATGTGTGTTTCAGGCACAGAGTCCTTTGGGCTTTTCTCGTGCACTATAAATGGAGAAGAAAGAGATCAGACTCACAGAGCGGTCTTCAGGTGAGGAATGCTACCCACACTATAACCTAAATACACCAAGAGTAGCTCTAAACAAAAAGCTCCAGTCTGGTTTAAAGCCCAATCACAAACTCTCAAGCAGCTCTTCTTTTTCAGTATCTGTTAAAACAGTAAATTGACTGCTCATAATATCTATTGCATGCAATACAAATGCAAGTTTTAATGCCCACGCTGCAGGTTCATCCCACGACATGCAGATGAGCTGGAGTTAGACATTGATGATCCATTATTCGTTGAGGAAGAGGAGGATGATTACTGGTACCGTGGGTATAACATGCGCACAGGGGCCAGAGGGATTTTCCCAGCATACTACGCCCATGAGGTTGTTTGCCAAACAAAATATCTGATGAGTAAGAATTTTGAAAATACATTGTTTGAATTGTTTTCAAAAATATACATTTTTGGGATCACTGTTTTGGGGGGGAAATATGTATATACTTCTTTAAAAGAGTCCTTCTGGTAAGGGATATGGGACTGGTTTCTTTTTCTTTGACCTTCACATCTGGTCTCTTTGTTAAAGCACTTGGTGAGTCAGCATTGTCTATATACGTGTGTTTCCATAGCGATGAAGAGGAACCCTGCTTGGATGGAAAGCTTCCGAGTGCAGTTCCTGGGTTCGGTGGAAGTTCCTTATCACCAAGGCAATGGCATCCTGTGTGCTGCCATGCAGAAGGTACCGCAAACAGGAAATGTATCAGATTGTGCTTTACTTGTGTGAGATAGTACTCAATGAATGCACAATGTTACATCATATGATGCAAACAAGAACTAATGAGTTTGTTTATCTTTCAGATCGCTATGGCAAGGAAGAAGACGGTGCATCTTCATCCCCCATCTATTTGTGAGCTGGAAATAAGCCTGCAGGGTGTGAAACTAGTCATGAGTTTGGATGATGAGTATGACTTTTCAGGGGAGGTAAGAGAGAGAGAAAAAGAGAAAAAATGTAAAGGTGCAACTTTATTTTTATTTTGCCCTGCTGGATATGACAGTAGTCTTGTTTACCCAATCAGCAGTCAGCAATGATTCATTTATTCTGCAAACAAAATATACGATAAATGGAGTTAAAAAAAGCTAGTAGTATTAATCTGGTCCTCTCGTAGACTTTTTCATATTTATTATCATTATTTTTTTATTTATTATTTGGCTTCTGAGTCTTCATCTGATGTGTAAATGAATTAAAAAAAAAATAAAAAAATATATATATATATATACTGTATATGTATATATATATATATATTTTTTTTAAATGTATTATTTATTTTTTTTACAAAAAATAAAATAATACTGTTAATGTCTATATGTGCATGATTTTTAATTAGAAAAACACATAATTAACACAATATACAGTGGCAGTGACATGACATGTGGCCAAGTGTGGTGTCCCATACTCAGAATTTGTGCTTTGCATTTCACCCATCCAAGTGCACACACACAGCAGTGAGTAGTACACACACACACACACACACACACACACACACACCGTGAACACACACCCGGAGCATACATTGTGAGACTATCTAAATTTCAGCATTTTGCCTGGATTTTGATATTTAATATAATTCCTCTTCTCATTTCTTTTTGTAGTTTGACAGATGTAGTCACTTCTTCCAAATGAAAAACATCTCCTTTTGTGGATGTCATCCTAAAAACAACTGGTAAACACACACACATACATTACCACTTTCTATTTTTTTAGTAAACGCCAAAACAAGTCTTCATGCATTTGATCAGTTTTGGAAGATTTTGCAGGCCAAAATAAGACTTGTCCCTCTCTCTGTGTGTCTCTCTGTAGTTATTTTGGTTTCATCACCAAGCACCCGATGCTGAACAGGTTTGCATGTCACGTCTTCGTCTCTCAGGACTCCATGAGACATGTAGCTGAGTGTGTGGGGTGAGTGTAACGCTCTTAAACATCACAATAGCATTTACAAGAAACTTTTGACACTGAGAATAGCAGAGAAGAGAAGTTAATGAGAGTGATCGGTCTCTGCTTCATTATCAGAGCACAGGCCAGACTGCTGTGTGCATTATTAAAGTTTCTCTCTTTTGGAGTTATGGGCCCCAGCAGGAGGCAGCTATCTCTGACGCATTACATAATAGGACCTTATGAACATATACATTATTTAGCCTTATCATTTAGCACAAAAATGAAGGGGAGAAAGTTAAAGAACAGAAACTAACGATGTTTTTATGACAATACTTTGTTTTCATCATTAATAACAAGACAGAAGCTCATCAACCTGCACACTTGTACAGACTCACAGCCTTAGTTTTCTGTAGAGTTGTTGAAATTATTCATTATTATTATTATTGCACACTTTATGCGACTAGTAAAGCCTCCAGCTATGTAGTTAGCTGGTGTGACTAGCTTCTGTGTTATAATGTGTGCTGGGCTTAAATAGACTTAAATGGATCTTTTTAATATTATTATTTAAATTATTATTTAAAATGAAAAATGAAATAATTATCTAAATCCTGGTTTATTGTGAACAAATTGTTCAGAATTTGCCTGAAAAAACAGACAAACAAAATATGCAATAACTGCTCCGCACTGGATAAATAAATAAACTAATAAATAAGAAAAACATAAATTACAAATAAAATATACTGTAAATTACAAGTAAAAAAAATGATTGTAGGTATTTAGTGTCACGGCAGAGAAGAGTCAGGATCCAAGTGCGAGTGAAAAGTTAAAGAACAGAAACTAAAAATGTTTTTATGACAATACGTTGCTTTCATCATGTTAATTACGCAAGAAAAAAAGCACAAGTGCACATAACGAGAGCTCATTAACCTGCACACTTGTACAGACTCACAGCCTTAGTTTTCTGTAGAGTTGTTGAAATTATTCATTATTATTATTATTGCACACTTTATGCGACTAGTAAAGCCTCCAGCTATGTAGTTAGCTGGTGTGACTAGCTTCTGTGTTATAATGTGTGCTGGGCTTAAATGGATCTTTTTAATATTATTATTTAAATTATTATTTAAAATGAAAAATGAAATAATTATCTAAATCCTGGTTTATTGTGAACAAATTGTTCAGAATTTGCCTGAAAAAACAGACAAACAAAATATGCAATAACTGCTCCGCACTGGATAAATAAATAAACTAATAAATAAGAAAAACATAAATTACAAATAAAATATACTGTAAATTACAAGTAAAAAAAATTATTGTAGGTATTTAGTCAATTTGACATCAAAATTGACCTTATTTCGTTTATTATTTAAATCCTGGTTTATTGTGAACAAACTGGTTCCGAATTTGCCTGAAAAAACAAACAAACAAAATATGCAAACATTTGACATCAAAATTGACCTTGTTTAATTTATTATTTAATTCCTAAATATGATGAATATGATGGTTTATTTAAGGGGGTCTGAATACTTTCCGTACCCACTGTATATAGTTGTCACAGCTAAATGTGAAACCCTACCATTTTTTAGCAATACATGATCAATACAATACACAAGCAAAACAAAACGCTGTTCACAAAGCGCAACACACAAGTGTAAGTTCTGATCTCGTATGTCTCTTGTGTGCTTGTTTCAGACGGGCGTTCCAGGAGTACTACCAAGAGCACTTAGAATACGCCTGTCCTACCGAAGATATCTACCTTGAGTAAAGGAGGAAAAGGGTAACCATGGAAACTGCTGTCCCTCAGGACAGATGTCTGTTCCTGGGCTTGGCCACTACGAGGTGCCTGGCAGCCTTCTCAAATGTAACATAGGCCTCATCTCTTTATTCTCTTCCTCAGTTTCTCTTGTTCTCCCGACATGAACTGAGCTGAATACTCTACATAGGCTCTTAGTGGTCTGTCTGTTTATTTAACTGTTTATCAGTTCATTTATTCTCTTCATTGAGATGGATTGCTTGTTTATTTAACTTTTCTACTATATAATTAGGGACATGGTTTTTGGGTGGATACATCAGTTCGAGTTCTTTCTTTTTTTTATATAGTCCTGGAAAAATATAAAAGGCAAAATATGACTTGACATGTTTGATTGCATGGCTTTGAGGGTTATGCTCACAAACACACACATACACACACAATGTCTAAAAGCAAAAGGCGATCAGGGGTTTGAATCTGAAGACCAGGATTGTTTGTAAATATGTATTTGTCCGATTCTGATACATTGCTGTACTGGGTTTGTACTAAAAAGGACAAGGCAGTAAGACGTGACCTGGAGTCGTTGATAGGTCTACAGATTGTCTGTTCCGATGTAGTAGAAGGTTTAATGTACGTTTCTGATTTAACCGCGATGTAAATACTGTACAAATAGGGATGACTGTAGGTGAAAACCGATGCTTCATTACATCATGGTATGCAAGTATCCTGCGCCATCTGTCTGAGAATGAGGGACGGATTGCAGGTCGGCAGGCTGGGTGTACTGTAGAGGAATCTAGAGATGGTTCGGTGAATCTCATCAAGTCATATCTGGAAAATATTTGACCCCAAAATCACAAAGATGTTGTGTAAAAATGATGATTTTTTGCAACTGTGACGTTATTTTCATCTCAATTTGTAACACCCACAATTACTGTAATGCATCCAGATATTTGAGTTTTGAGTTTTGTGCATAAGTTTTTAATGATTAATTATTTGCAATGCCATTGTGACATTGCCATCACAGTTAAACACCCACAATTAGATTAATGCATCCAGATGTTTTAGTTTTGGGTTTATTTATAGTTTTAGTTTATTTTCATTAATGATTCTCAGTAATACAGTAATAAAAATCATCCTGTCAATATTTTTTATTTGAAATCAGCATGCAATTTAGGCTGTGCTACAAATATTACCATTAAGTATAAATAATTTACAATGATTATATCATTAATTAATATCAATATTTATTCAAATAATAATAATAATAATGATATTTTTTATTATAATTGTTATTAATAATAATGAAAGATTATTTGTATTTATTTATTTAGCTTTACATTATTGGAGGATAAGGCACATAAAATGTGCTGAAGTGTCATAATTTACAGTGATTATGTCATTAATATCAATATTTATTCATTTAATTAATCAACTAATTGTTGTTAGTTTTTTTTTTAGCATTACAGTAATAAAGGGTGAGGTGAGGGAATGTGCTTAATTGTCATGAAACAATCATAATATAGGCTTTATTTTCCTCATGCACAGTAAAATGTATTTATTTATTTTTTCATTTTATTTTGGGGTAAAATATTACTGAGATATCGACTTTGTACGATTCATCCGGTTGGCTATGATATAGCTCAGTCCTTTGGGCATTCAGTCAAATAATATTTCTCCAGCTCTCAAACCTGACAGCCCCTCTACTTACCATTGTCTGCTGTCTTGTATGATTGTCAGGTTGGACTGACGCTTTTAGCTTTTAAGCCTGATATAGCTCACCTCTCATGCTTTGAACGTTTGCAGGTAGAAACTTCAGAGAGATATGATGCTCATAGACAGCGAGTAAAATGAAAAGTCCCCGTTCACTGGGAAACACACTGAATGCAGGAATGTTTTACCAATGGACTTGATAATTGAATCCAGTAATCTGCAGGACAAATATTGCTTCATATTACACCGGTAAAGAATAAAATACCCCAATTCTGTCCTGTGAAGCAGATGTATAGGTGCCATGTGATTATATAATGAGCTCAGGATATCAGAAAACAACCCTTGTGCATTGTTTTGTCTCTCTGAGTCAGTCACAGATGCCGACTGGCAGACGCAGTTGTTCAGCTCTCTGACTTAGCCCTTGTCCTGACCTTGACCGGCACTGCTGAGACTGAATAGAGCAGAGCAGATCCCCCTCTGATCTGACTTTTTCGTGCACACTGCACTGCGGTATACTAGTATGCATACATAGTATGGTAGTATGCTATTTTGAACACAGCCCAACGTTCCCTGCACACGTGACTGTATCCTCCAGCAGCCTGCAATCTGTTTCCATGGTTACCCGTTCATTTGTGATGGTGACAATCTCACGGAAGGAGTTTTATGTTTTATATGTGTCTTGTTTTCGGTTAGATTGCTGTAAATATTCTAGAGTCAGGATCGCCATGCTGTGTCCTTTCTGTTGAGTATGTTATTGAGATAAATATGTACATTTAAAAGAAATAATAATATTAATAATAATGTTCACAACCAAAAGCCAGCTGTGATGGGGTGAAAAGATATAAATAGCTTTGAATTAGTATTTGTAAAGGGGGTCTGAATACTTTCCGTACCCACTGTATATAGTTGTCACAGCTAAATGTGAAACCCTACCATTTTTTAGCAATACATGATCAATACAATACACAAGCAAAACAAAACGCTGTTCACAAAGCGCAACACACAAGTGTAAGTTCTGATCTCGTATGTCTCTTGTGTGCTTGTTTCAGACGGGCGTTCCAGGAGTACTACCAAGAGCACTTAGAATACGCCTGTCCTACCGAAGATATCTACCTTGAGTAAAGGAGGAAAAGGGTAACCATGGAAACTGCTGTCCCTCAGGACAGATGTCTGTTCCTGGGCTTGGCCACTACGAGGTGCCTGGCAGCCTTCTCAAATGTAACATAGGCCTCATCTCTTTATTCTCTTCCTCAGTTTCTCTTGTTCTCCCGACATGAACTGAGCTGAATACTCTACATAGGCTCTTAGTGGTCTGTCTGTTTATTTAACTGTTTATCAGTTCATTTATTCTCTTCATTGAGATGGATTGCTTGTTTATTTAACTTTTCTACTATATAATTAGGGACATGGTTTTTGGGTGGATACATCAGTTCGAGTTCTTTCTTTTTTTTATATAGTCCTGGAAAAATATAAAAGGCAAAATATGACTTGACATGTTTGATTGCATGGCTTTGAGGGTTATGCTCACAAACACACACATACACACACAATGTCTAAAAGCAAAAGGCGATCAGGGGTTTGAATCTGAAGACCAGGATTGTTTGTAAATATGTATTTGTCCGATTCTGATACATTGCTGTACTGGGTTTGTACTAAAAAGGACAAGGCAGTAAGACGTGACCTGGAGTCGTTGATAGGTCTACAGATTGTCTGTTCCGATGTAGTAGAAGGTTTAATGTACGTTTCTGATTTAACCGCGATGTAAATACTGTACAAATAGGGATGACTGTAGGTGAAAACCGATGCTTCATTACATCATGGTATGCAAGTATCCTGCGCCATCTGTCTGAGAATGAGGGACGGATTGCAGGTCGGCAGGCTGGGTGTACTGTAGAGGAATCTAGAGATGGTTCGGTGAATCTCATCAAGTCATATCTGGAAAATATTTGACCCCAAAATCACAAAGATGTTGTGTAAAAATGATGATTTTTTGCAACTGTGACGTTATTTTCATCTCAATTTGTAACACCCACAATTACTGTAATGCATCCAGATATTTGAGTTTTGAGTTTTGTGCATAAGTTTTTAATGATTAATTATTTGCAATGCCATTGTGACATTGCCATCACAGTTAAACACCCACAATTAGAGTAATGCATCCAGATGTTTTAGTTTTGGGTTTATTTATAGTTTTAGTTTATTTTCATTAATGATTCTCAGTAATACAGAAATAAAAATCATCCTGTCAATATTTTTTATTTGAAATCAGCATGCAATTTAGGCTGTGCTACAAATATTACCATTAAGTATAAATAATTTACAATGATTATATCATTAATTAATATCAATATTTATTCAAATAATAATAATAATAATGATATTTTTTATTATAATTGTTATTAATAATAATGAAAGATTATTTGTATTTATTTATTTAGCTTTACATTATTGGAGGATAAGGCACATAAAATGTGCTGAAGTGTCATAATTTACAGTGATTATGTCATTAATATCAATATTTATTCATTTAATTAATCAACTAATTGTTGTTAGTTTTTTTTTTAGCATTACAGTAATAAAGGGTGAGGTGAGGGAATATGCTTAATTGTCATGAAACAATCATAATATAGGCTTTATTTTCCTCATGCACAGTAAAATGTATTTATTTATTTTTTCATTTTATTTTGGGGTAAAATATTACTGAGATATCGACTTTGTACGATTCATCCGGTTGGCTATGATATAGCTCAGTCCTTTGGGCATTCAGTCAAATAATATTTCTCCAGCTCTCAAACCTGACAGCCCCTCTACTTACCATTGTCTGCTGTCTTGTATGATTGTCAGGTTGGACTGACGCTTTTAGCTTTTAAGCCTGATATAGCTCACCTCTCATGCTTTGAACGTTTGCAGGTAGAAACTTCAGAGAGATATGATGCTCATAGACAGCGAGTAAAATGAAAAGTCCCCGTTCACTGGGAAACACACTGAATGCAGGAATGTTTTACCAATGGACTTGATAATTGAATCCAGTAATCTGCAGGACAAATATTGCTTCATATTACACCGGTAAAGAATAAAATACCCCAATTCTGTCCTGTGAAGCAGATGTATAGGTGCCATGTGATTATATAATGAGCTCAGGATATCAGAAAACAACCCTTGTGCATTGTTTTGTCTCTCTGAGTCAGTCACAGATGCCGACTGGCAGACGCAGTTGTTCAGCTCTCTGACTTAGCCCTTGTCCTGACCTTGACCGGCACTGCTGAGACTGAATAGAGCAGAGCAGATCCCCCTCTGATCTGACTTTTTCGTGCACACTGCACTGCGGTATACTAGTATGCATACATAGTATGGTAGTATGCTATTTTGAACACAGCCCAACGTTCCCTGCACACGTGACTGTATCCTCCAGCAGCCTGCAATCTGTTTCCATGGTTACCCGTTCATTTGTGATGGTGACAATCTCACGGAAGGAGTTTTATGTTTTATATGTGTCTTGTTTTCGGTTAGATTGCTGTAAATATTCTAGAGTCAGGATCGCCATGCTGTGTCCTTTCTGTTGAGTATGTTATTGAGATAAATATGTACATTTAAAAGAAATAATAATATTAATAATAATGTTCACAACCAAAAGCCAGCTGTGATGGGGTGAAAAGATATAAATAGCTTTGAATTAGTATTTGTATCTTTCCTTTATCTGCTTTTCATTGGTATACATCTGTTGTTGGATGTGTGGTCAGTCTCCATGTGCAGAATAACATGCAATCGCTGACGGTCTAACAAATCTGCCGTGTCAATCAGATCTTCATTCACAAACAGACACGCATCGAATGGCCAAAAACTCATTCGTCGAGTCAATCAGCAATTTTGTCTCATTTATGAGCAATCATTTATATCAATCAGAGCTCTAAATCCTTAGTTATGACTGTTACATGACATTTTTTGTGTGTTCATAAGGTAAATGAATATCTTGAATATTTTAGCCTTCTCTAGAGTCAGGATCGCCATGCTGTGTCCTTTCTGTTGAGTATGTTATTGAGATAAATATGTACATTTAAAAGAAATAATAATATTAATAATAATGTTCACAACCAAAAGCCAGCTGTGATGGGGTGAAAAGATATAAATAGCTTTGAATTAGTATTTGTATCTTTCCTTTATCTGCTTTTCATTGGTATACATCTGTTGTTGGATGTGTGGTCAGTCTCCATGTGCAGAATAACATGCAATCGCTGACGGTCTAACAAATCTGCCGTGTCAATCAGATCTTCATTCACAAACAGACACGCATCGAATGGCCAAAAACTCATTCGTCGAGTCAA